GTGGGCTCTGAGTGAGGTGAGGTTAGTGACCTCAGATCAATGGTCAGATCACGCAGATCAGTGACCCGACTAGGTGGTAATTTGATACTTTTTGATCGGATGAAAGTAATTTCGGAACTAAGCTTGCTTACCGATGACTTGACAGCACTGGCGAGGGCTTGTTGCCGAAACGTCTGCTGTTCCCCTGGTGTTACTAGAACTGCCCATCACGTAATTCGGCAGTCATTCGGCTATGAGCCGTGAAAAATGCCTCTCAGAACGCCTCAAACATCATCTGGTAGAATCACAAGAAACTTATTTAAGCCAGCCATATGATCGACTATTATCGACTATTATCGACTATATATATGTATAGATATAGTCGATACATCCACGCATATCGACTATATATATATATATACACAAATATATATATATATATATATATATATATATATATATATATATTACTCTTATGAATAGCCATATTATCGACTATTCCGGATGCACTTCGAAAGGCATCGCACAAAAAGAGATACTGCATCAACTCCCTTTTGGGAACGGAAGCTTAAATCACAGCATTTCTGCCTTTCTATGAGAATTCTCACCGGATGTCCACTAAACTAGCATGACAATGGAGTGTATATCCTTAATGAAGCGGACATACCAAAGATAAACGTGCTAGCCATTTTTTTTTATTAGAGATGAAACTCATTTTTTAACGTCCTTTGCACGCCGCATAGCGGTATCGATATTGGCATCAGTATCAGTATCGACATACCGTTGCCACAATGCTTACCGAATATCCAAGACACCAGCCAGACAAAGGAGTGCACTACGTGAATGCAGCGGATACTTAAAAGACAATCTTGCAGGCCGTTTTTTGATATAAGACGCGAGCCATTTTTTTATATAAGACGCGAGCCATTATTCAACCCCATTTGCGCACGCCACATAGGAAGTCCGTGCAGTGACGTCAGGTGTCAACGAATCTTCGTAACCTTTGCAAGGCATTTGGTTACGCAACATGGCTTCCGCCTGGCGATAGCTCAGTTCCGTTCGCTATCTGACCGACCACCTCTGATGTCACACCCGCCCGCCAGGCGGCTCAGAAGGCGCGGGCCTCCGAGCCCGATACGGAGCGCCCGGCACCAAAGCCGCCGGCCGACAGACGACTGAGTCATTGCCCCCGGGTCGGCCTGCGGTCAGCTGAGGCCCTCATGACCAGGGTTGATGGACCGATGCCCCAGTGAGATGTCCGCCTGCGTTTCCTGTGGGCGCCCCGTTATCTGACGCCACGGCTGCGAGATCGTGAAGAGCAGCGGCAGAAACCAGTAGCGGCCCGCTACCTGGCGGGGACCGCTAAAGCTGGCTTAAGCGCCGCCCGCCGCCCGCTTGATAATGTAACTTCACGGCGGAGGATTAGCCAGCAATCGCCTGCGGACAAATCGGGGCTACTTTTAAGTGGTGTGAGTCCGATTTGTCGGTAGGGTAACACACGCCCACTGACAGGCAGACGGATTACATTAAACGTGCAGACATGCTCTGGCAGCATTCCTTGTGTAGGCCACCCAAGATGATTACTTCAACAGTCTGTGTTCTCTCGTGCGTCACACTATGTACTGTAGGATGGCGTGACTACAGCCAAACCAAAAGATCATGTCCACGGAGGGGGAAGGGGGGGGGGGTGATATGGCGCGAGATGCATGACGGCATGCATGCGGAGCTGCATAGCTATCATACTCATGGATCTGAGGGACGATACGGACGGAAATATGCTATGTCAAACATCCCTTCACAAGTCCGTCTTCATTCGCTGCCGATGGTGAAAACGCGCTCCGTTGCAGTGTCTCCATTGATCAACTCATGCTGTGCGGCTGTGAGTAAACAATTTGGAGAAACAGCGATGCTATGACAGCATGGTTTTATTATCAGATGACGTACGGAGGAGGAGGAGGGGGGGGGGGGGGGGGAGGGGCTCATCCGTTTTCCACCCGGTGAGTTGGATATGCTACCTCCTAGCCCCACCTGGAGTTCTTCACCTGGCGTTCTTAGAGTCAGCCTCGGGTACGCCAATCTACACACGCGACTGCGCTCTTCGTGTCAGGCTTTTCGAGAGACGAATGCTGTGACCACTTGTGACTCGTAGGAACGGACCGGCCAAGTCTGCCGGCGGCGTTGTGGTCCCTGCGTGTGTCATTGGGGCTTTACGACGCACTCGGCTGCTGAGGCTATAGGGCGTCGCCTGCCTCTCACCCTGGCAGGAAGGGCGGGCACCGCGGGTAACCGAAACCCGTACTTCTGGTTTCCCAGATGCGCAATGGTTAACGCAGACGTGTTAACCACTACACTACCGGCGCCCCGTGTGGTCCCGTGTGGTCCCAGCCGACCACGTGACGATCCGGGACCGTCACTCCCCGTGGCACGAGACCAGCGGTTCCGGCGGCGGTGAGGTCCCTGCGGCGCCGGTCCCACCCGACCACATGACGGCCCGGGACCGTCGCTCCCCCGCGGCACGAGACCAGCGGTCTCGCCGGCCGGGCGAGCATCAGCAAGTCAAAAGGGTTCTGCCCGCTACACGACACGGCGACTGCGCGAGCAGGCAGGCCAGCACAGCCCCTCGACGAAACCGGCTATCTTCTGGAGGCCTTGCTGTGGGCCCCAAGTGTGATGCAATGCCTCTCAGTAGTATTATTACAGCCAGCAAAAGAGTTAAGTGCGCGCTTATGCACGGGTTACTTAAATTATGTGCTTGGCGCGGAATAACTTTGCTGCACGGGATGCTCCAGCGCTGGCAAGCAACTTCGGTGCGACCGCAGACTAGTGGCGTGGAGCAGCTTGGAAAAGAATCGCAAAGACTTCCAAACGGTCGCGGCTCACACCCTTTGTTTCGACCACAGCTTCGCCATTGTGTTTGAGCCTTGGCGAATTGGAATAACCGCGAAACCTGTTGTTGAGCGCGCGCGATAAGAATGCCTGAGCTTTGTGGATCATTTATTCTAGCAGCAAGCCAAACAGTCCCAGAATACATTAGCTGCACATTCACCTGGTCACCCGTTCGGTACAGGGCAAAGGTCTTTGACCCTCGAATGCAATATTCGGAAATGCACATTGGGATGTTCAAACCACATATTCAGCATGTTTACGTGTGTTGTTCGAAGAGCATCCAAGATAATTGGTGGCTGTCACGAAAAATTCACCACGATTGCTAATGACGTTGCAAGCTGAGCTAACAGAAAATAACTGAAAGCCACTTTATATATATATATATATATATATATGTATATATATATATATCTATATGTATATATATATATATATAAAGTGGCGTATATATATGCGTTGTATATATCGCTATCATTCTCGAAAAAGAACTCTCTACGACTCATCTCGAGCCCATGTTAGAAGTTAAAGAAACGCAGATGCAAGTTGAAGCGTGCCTGAGGAAACATTAACTGCAGAACAGATAAAGCATGCCGAAGCGGAATGATATCCGTCACAGTGTTCGACGACTTGACGTCACGACACCATAGAAACAGACTTTGACGAGACGAAAACGGACAATCTTATCCAGACAAGCGTGGGTCGATGCGTTCGGACTATCCCGCGTTCTCACGTGCAAAACATGAATCCGTCCGTTTCAGTTGTTTGCTGTTGGTAGCCAATCGTTTTTCCAGGCTTCCAATAAGAGTTAACGTTGAACTTGTGCGGGAGATGGGCGGGCTGTGGCGGGCGACTTATCGGCTCCGGCCAGTATCCCCTGCTCCCCAGGTGCACAGCCATGATGGGCCTGAAGATGACATATGGTCACAGTTATGATGGGCCTAAAGATGACATGTGGAGTTATTCTACTCTGGAGAAGTACATGGCGACATGCCCTGATTTCAACCGACTTTGATACGTAGCCTGCGAAAAGCTCTGCACGGACTCACGAGTGCCAAATCGGCAATCAGTATTTGTTATCCTTACAATGTCGAAGATGGCGCATCTACAAAAGCTCTCGTCCAGGCATTGCAGCAGACCTCGGTACGTAGACACTATGTATAGGGTAATACTATCATGGCCCGCTGGGCAACGCTCACTGGGCTCTAAAGGCAACGCATCGCGCAGAAACCATACACAGTTTGTTCGAAGTTAATCCTATAAGTACTTCTCCGAACCTTAACAAGCGATTGTAGGCTGCAGTGTTCGAGGCACCGCATGTTTTTTTTTCAAAAGTCATCGATATAATGTTGCTGGAGGCGACTCGGGCCCGCCTATCATTTACACCTTCCCCGGCAGGCGGAAATGCCTCAGAAGTGGTGCGGGCGAATCTCCCCGTCAAGTGGATTGTTCGTGAGCACCGATATCACTTTAAGATTGACGTTAAGTGTTAACCGTTCACGACATGGGGGTATTTCATATTTCCACCGAACACTATGCTCCTTCGCCTGTGCGTGCTCGGACCAATTACGGAACAGCGCCAGCAGTAAATTGGTAGTAAAAAATGTGTAGAATTTGTATTTACCGGAAAGACCGTGCAATCGTGCCACCAATGACGGATCTAGGGCGCCAGTGAGCCACAGTTCACTCGATGACGATGAAAACTGAGCTTTTCGTTCTTTTGGCTTGATTTGTTGAGTGACATTTTGGGAACGTTTAGAGAACACGGCGCGTTACATCACGTGATTGCCCGACGAAGTGTCGTCACACCTGTGACGTCATGTGGAATCAACCAATCGCCGCTAATGTGGCCGTTAGGAGCTCGAAGTGAGGAGGTTCCTCAATAGGCGGATGCAGGAGCGTGTACATGCATCCATGGTGCTGCATCTGTTAACGTTAGCTTCAGTTACAGAATGGCGTATATTTCCATTCCGCTGAGCTACACCGTTGAGTTTTCTGCAAAACCTCCCAAGTCACCGTCCTGGATCCGCCCTTGGCCTACTCACCACGCATGGCCACCGCCGCCGTGCCGGGCAGGTGAGCCGAGTTCATTTACATCGGTCCGGTCCCCATATGCCGGCGATATAGTGAGCTGGAGCGTCGTCGGGCGCAGTCGGTCAGTTGCGAGCGGTCGTCGGCTCGGTGAGCAGGTCGGCAGCCGAGCTCCCGCCTCGACGCCAGCAGCGCCGCCGCCACCGCCCGCCCGCGCACACTCTGCGGCAGCCACAGGTGGGCCCCGGCACCGCGACCATCCGTGTACTGGTCCCGGGTGCTATGAAGTGTCTAGTGTGTGTCGTGGTGTTCCGGCAAGCTGCGGACGTTTTCTGCAATGCTGCTGATAAATTGTGTCCAGCGTAGACGTTTGAGGGGAGTTTCAAAATGGCAAAGCAGAGCCTATGTCATTTAGCCTGTACTTATACTCAAGTTAGGCATGAATAAGTGGCGTTATTTAAATAGCGGTTTTTCAAAAAATAGGTTCGGCTATCTCGCCTCTAACGCATGACAAAACAGAGAAAAGTTCTCACATGACCTCTCCGGTACCCATGACCGACCAAATTTAATCCGGATCACTTTGAGCTATTACCTGCGATAACTTGAACAAGCACTGCTCGACAGCGTTATTCCACGCATCTGGACCTATTGAAAGCCACGTCAAAGTGCGCTGGCATTTAAACGTGGGGCTTTGGCACGAATTCTTCATGACAGCTGTCAGCAAAGACGGCGCTGACATTAAGCGGAGATGCTAGTTGGCTGCCCGGATTAGGAGCCACATGTCAATTAGCACTGATCCTGACTTTAATCCCCATTCCGAGGACATCTGGCGCTGTTTCAACGTCACCTTCGGGAAGGTCGTTCATTCATTCATTCGCCGAGCGGGAGCTGCTGCGTCATGGAATGCCTCATATAGCGCTGGAGTCGATCCCGGCAGCCGATCCCAGCAAAGGCGCGCCGCGAATCCCTCCCGGCGCTCCAGACCCACCTGAGTAAGATAGCCCAGCCAGTTGGAGGCCGGCCCAGTTGGGTGCTCTAGACCAGCCGGTTGCCGGGGAAGGCAATAGAAAACTTCTGAGAAAAGGAGCTCTCCAGCCATACCGCACGGTATGCATGTAATAACGTGAATTCCGGGCATGCAGCTTCACCTGGGTTTGTTTGGCATCGCTGCATATGATTCCACGTCTAATCGTTTTTCTGGGATAACAACTGCGACGTAACATCCAAATCAACGATCCCAGCCAAGCCCAAACAGTGTGACTGGCCCTTGCGTCACGTTATCATTGCGTGACGTGTGCCCCGTCCGCGCAGTTGTGTTGTTCATTGCCGCCCCAAACGGGAAGGCTTAGAGGAGCAACTCGCCGGATTCCCAGCTGGCTGAGCGAGCGGTTCCATGACAAATTTTTGCATTGCATTTTGTTGCATGGAAAATTATATCATAAGCACAAGCCTCGGTTTTGAGAAATGGGAGCTGCTAAGCTATGGAGCGAACGAAACAAGATGCAACCCATTAAACAGATCAGATGGCTACATCGTAAACAACGGAACGAGGAAAAATGAACAGGAGCGAATTCGAGAACACTCGTTTAAGAAAAGTTGTAGAACGTCAGTCCACGAATTTTTGCACTGGGGTTAGTAGGTGTTATGGTTGTGTGTGTTAGACGACGCACTCAACATCTCCGTCACTTAGAGTCGCCATGCTTGACGTGGACGCCAATGGGCTTGTAGCTAGCTTCATGCTCGTGCCTGAGCGGTTGTGAGGCGCTGGAGGCATGTGTCTGCGCCTCTTTTCCAACAAAATCCCGGCTGTTCCCTGCTCTTTATCGGCTCCTAGCCGAAAAATCGCGCCCACTAATTGCTGCCCGTGTGCATACCGATCAGCAAGAAAAGACGCCTTCTGTGTCTTCCCAGCACGTCTCGCTATTACTGACACGTAAAACGTGAGCCCAATCATGACGGAACTCGAAAGAGCTCGCAGTGGCCCAGGGAAACACCATGACATCAAAATTTTCTTAATGGATTGAACAAAATTAATCATTCCCGTCAGGGAAGGCGGATGCAGGAGATAATATAGAAAATCCAGATTGTGCTGACGGGAGCAGATGCCAGAAAATTGAATAGTCCATAGCAGAGAAGCTGGTTCTGTCCAATAAATTCCTGGTAGCTGCGGACACCGAACTGGCGTAGCTATTCCATCCGTGTCTGCTTCACTTTGTGTGCCCTTTACGGAAACACAGCGCTGCGTTTCTCGAGGCACCTACGTAAATGTAGCATTGATTACATCAGAACCATGCGCTCACTGTACTGCCGCAGTTACGCGTTATGTATTTCTCGATATCAGCTATCTTCCCTCAAAGCACCCGCCCTCGCTGCTAGGTGAGAGGCTGCTGACGCCATGTAGTCCCAGCTGTTGGGAACGTCGTAAAGCGGCAGTGGCGACATGTTGTTCACTATTTTGGTTATTCATATTCACGATATCCTATTTACTAGTCATAGGCATACGCTGGCTAATTTGGCTATGAAACAAGACGCCATCGCGCGCTGTTGGAGCTGCGGTGCCGGTCCCGTGGCGTCCCCAGTTCCCCGCGGTACACAGCAGTCCTGCCGTCGCCGCTCCCTGGTGGCCACCTGTCATGCCCGCCTGCTCCCTGACTCAGCGGCCATTACTCCATCGTGGAGCAACAAGGCGCGCTCGCCTGAGCCCGCCTTGGCTGGTGGACGCAATCAGAGTGGAAACACCGCTGGCTTCCGGAGATGCGTCGCGCTGCAGCCTGCAGCCGCTGCAGGAGGCGGCGGCGGCGACGGCGGCGGGCGTCGAACCAGGCTGCGGTCAGCGGCGTCCTGTCAGCCGTGAAGCCGTCCGCGCGCCGCCGCCGCCGCCGCCGCCGCCGTGGCGCGGCGGCCGCGGCGCCGGCCCCGGACACGAGCGTTGGCTGCCGGTGCCGCCCGCTCGGCGAGCAGACAGACCAGAGGCGAAGGTGCTCGGCTGGGCTGGTGGCCAGCCGGGCTACCACCAGGCGCTGAAAGAAGGCAGCGATATGTCTGCGGAGTGCCAACAACGCCAACAGGATCTTGGTCACACGTTTTCTTCGAGGAGGCGGCAGGACCAGACCATGCTTTCTTTGAATCGCTTCATGACGTGCGGGAGGACTAAGTTACACAGGGAGGGGAGGCCCGGAGGGCCGACAGCTGCCGTGCGGCTCCTGATCTCTTGTCATCAGACTGCCTTTACAATGCTTCAGCGACCTCGCGGCTTATGGCCAGCCAAAACCGGAGCGGAAGCGGCACGCCGTGCATTGACCTGGCACCTGGTCTGACCTCCGCGGTACAGTGCAAGGCCCTGAATAATTGGCCACAGGCCAGCGGCAGGTCGGCAGCGAGTCAGCAACAAGCCACCGACGGGCGCGTCAGTCACCGCCTTATCTGTCGGCCCCGAATGGCGGCGGTGACGCTGGTGGGCAACAGCATGACGTGACTAGTCAGAGTCGGCGACGGAAGCCGCTGCGAAGCCTTCGCAAGAAGTGTCCAGCCACAAGAGCGAGACTCTTATCTCGCGCGAGCATCGCGCGCGGCAGCGGAGGGAGATACCTCATGCGTGACAAACTGACAGCGCGTTATAACGCCGCCGCCGCTGCGGACGTTGATCTCAAAACACCGATGTTTTATGCTTATCGGTGAGGTTTCAATGCATCATCTGTGGTATCGGCAGCATCGACATTTTTTGTGAGCGGGGTTCGATTAGGTTCGATTTATCTTATGCCAATCGCCTTCATTACGGCTTCTGCATTGAAAACGTAGCTTCAAGTGAACGGTTTCGTACACACTGTGTTCCACAACTGAGGTATGGGTCCACTACACTAAAACAACCGGCTATCTCCCATCAGTGGCGTGATAAACACTGCGCATCCGCAGCGTATAGCTTACTGATGTATCAAATCAAACAGAATTGGTGTTTGCGCCCACGTGTCTACGACAAAGTGCCATGTGACTACCTCAAGCACGGAAGTGTTTGACAGAACGCTTCAACCTTTTTTTCCCCCATATGTTTCCCACGTCTTCACACACACGAAGTCATTCATGTACCGCAAAACGGAACGACCTAAAAAATTGCCTGCCTGCCCTACGGAGTCTTAGATCTGCGACTGCTGTCGTTCGTCCAGCTCACGCTGTCAGAAGGCTGTCAGAATACATTGAAAATAGTCGCCGCTGGCCCGTCCATGGCTCCCATCGCAGCAGCTCGAGCACCGCCTCTGTCCAAAGCACCGTCCGCAGCTTCACGCCCCATCAACCCAGGCGATCTGTCCGCGGCCACCGCCTCTGTCCAGAGCATCGTCCGCAGCCTCACTCCCCGCCCCCCCAGACGATCTGTCCGCGGCCACCGCCTCTGTCCAGAACACCGTCCGCAGCCTCACGCCCCGTCCCCCCAGACGATCTGTCCGCGGCCACCGCCTTTGTCCAGAGCACCGTCCGCAGCCTCACGCCCCGTCCCCCCAGACGATCTGTCCGCGGCGTCACGCGTCGTCACGCGGACGTGCCGTGACCGGGTCGCCGTCGGCGGCACCGGCCAGTCCGGCACCGTCGCAGCCTCGGGTGGACCTGTCGACTCGCGGCGGCCGGCCCGACACAGACGAACGGCCGATGATGCGCCGCGCAGATTAGGCCACGCTGATCCAATTACGTCATAATGGCGTCACTGGCCGGGCCACAATCAGCGGAGGGCGCCTGTGAATTTTCCGCCGGTAATTGCGCCGTCTGGGGGAGCGACCCGTTAGCCGGGGCCGGGGTGACCTTTTCCGTGACCGGGCTCGACATGGTCGCGGCGATTATTTCGGTACCGGCCCGGGGACAATGTGGTCTGCAATAGGTTCACGACGTCACCAGGGCTGCCTTCCGTCTTCCGCCGCGTCCGACGAGCGCCAATCTGGCCCCATGTGTGTGTGTGTGTGTGTGTGTGTGTGTGTGTGTGTGTGTGTGTGTGTGTGTGTGTGTGTGTGTGTGTGTGTGTGTGTGTGTGTGTGTGTGTGTGTGTGTGTGTGTGTGTGTGTGTGTGTGTGTGTGTGTGTGTCTGTGTGTGTGTGTGTGTGTGTGTGTGTGCCGTTTGGGGGCGGTCGCCTCGGCCGGTACGGTTGGACGCGTTGTGAACGGAACGCGCCGTGCCGTCACGCGCCACAGCTCTTCTTTTCATTCAAACCGTGGTCGTCACTGCAAAGCAACTGTAGTTATGCCGCTGCTGGGGC